AAAGCATTGCTTTTAAGAAATTAACCATTTTGTGCTCAGGCATCCCAGAGCTTCTTGAATCTACTGAGCTGAATTCATGCTGAGCTGCAACTCTATCTCTAGCATCTCCTTTGTAAGCTCCAGGATGCTGAAAATCAAAAAGCAAAGAAAAATAATGTCTTTTGACATACCATGATTTGCAGTCTTAAAGACTAAGTAGGAACAGTTAAGCGTTTAGTTTGCTTAATTGGAATTTATACTTTAATCCCACTGGTGCCCTCATTAAATTTTAGACTGTCAAGATGGTAAAATCTAATGAAAGTTAATGGCGACATTCTTTTAATTGGAGATTGTCAAATTGGTTGCGGAATAAAATATTATCAATAGGCTGGAACAGGCAAACCACAGACTAATACCAACAACATGTTCCAAATAAGAGTGCAGTAATAGATTAGTGTTACATGGAACTTTAAATATACTTTTGTTAAGGTTGGCATTACAGTAAAGATAAAGTGCTTTGCCCTTGATTAGATTCTAGTCTAACAGAGGTACAAGACACCTTTGTAATACAGAAAAATTATTCAGAAATTGTTATCTCTGTATTTAAAGCAGAAAGGGGGTCCCACAGTCCTTCACCCTTTGTTGCTACTTCTAAGCCATCACTCTCACAGGTGAACTATGCTTCTATTATAAAGCTGCCCCTTACTGAAAATATAACTTACCTCAGGCTTAACAATCGTGGATTCAGAAAGGCAGGTGCAGTATAAACACAGCACACAAACAGATGCTGAAGCCACTCAAACAAGGAGCACCTGAAAAGCAGAAAGTACTACGTCTTCAGTGGCATGATACAGTTCATGTCTAGTAAGTTATCCACACCACCCCAAAGAGGTGCAGCAAATTCCAACATTTGAATCCTAATTACATTCAGCTGCTCAAAAGATGACACCAGTCAGAATGTCACTCCCAGTTTAACATACACAGCCCTGCAGTGGAACATTTCATAGCGGTGGTACTCACTAGAGATAGGAACAACGAATGAGAAGCTCAAGAACTCAGGTGATCTTTATCCAGAAACTCCTCCCTTCAGCATATCTACAGAGGGAACAAGCACGAGGGAGCTGGGCTGAGAGCACTGCTCAGGTGCTTCTGTAAAGGTCTGCTCTAATTCCAGCAAGGGCATCATAGCAATTTAGTCCCCCTTACTCCTATTTTAGCACCTGAACAACCCTGTCTTTTCAACAGCTTTTGTCTTGCTGGTGCCACCACAGGCAACAATATTTGCTGTCTGACAGGGATAAGTTCTCAACATTGGCCTGACTGTAAGCAAACACTCACTCATTGTAAAATGTCCATTAACATACTTGCCAGCGCAACTTGCCCAGTATAAACTGCAATACGGAGAAGTAAAATGTTAAGCTACTGAAGCATAGGTATCGATAGGCTTTAAATCCAAATAGAAAAAACTGTTCAAGGGGTTCTACAGCCTGGATAAAGATTACTGGGGTAATCCACCCCAGTGCTAACTCCTTTCCCACTTGCAGCTCTGCAAACAAGGTTCTGCAGCAGATAAAGGTTGTGGTCTGAAGGTCCAGAGATGGAGAGCCCTGCCTGAAATCTAGGCAAAGAATATGGGAAAGGAGAAGAGGGAAAAGCTTATTGTTTCAGACTACATTTTACACAAGCTCGTGCTTAGCACAGTGTAACGCTACTAGCAGCGTATAGCTGCCAATGCCATCTGACAGTCTTCCTCCATTATCTCTTGCCGTGGGCAAATCTAACAACATCCTTGCTGTTTGTCTTGGTCAAGCATGTGATTTGAGGCATGAGTTAAAAAGTTGATTAGAAACTTCACTGTAACCGACCTTCAAAATACAGGTCTGATCCTGGTGGATGCCGCAAGACTGCACACCTCACTGGTGTGTGTGTGTGTGTCCTTCCTTCCCCTCTAAGCAGGAGGAGGGAGTGGCTCTACTCACCACTTGGTGCTGGGGTTTCCACTGCCTGGGTACTGCTTGCACCGTTTTGTGTCTCTGGGGTGCTTGTCCTGGCTCCGTCCAGCGCCAGCCAAAGGCTCTGGAGCTGTGATGCATTCAGATATTGACACTGTGATCTGGTAACCATGGCGGCATTTTCAGGACCCAGGTTTGCTATTTGTTCTGGGGACAATGCCTAGAAGGAATAAAAGCCAGAAAAATTGGCTTAGGCTGTCAATTATATAAGGCAGGTAAGGAATCAGAAGTTAGCACTGTCTTGCATTTGGGATGAGGGGAAGTAGCCTCCAACATTGTATTGCTATACAACAGCTCAATAGAGCTTAAGAAAATCCTCTGTGTTCATTAACTTCACAGACCGCTCATCTATCTTTCACCCTTCTCTTTACTTCTGGGATCTGACAGCTTGAGAAGCTTTCTATGCCAACCCTGTATTGGACACTTCTTCAATATATTGCTGGAGTTTAATTTTCCAGCTATTTCTACTCTGATTTGCTCAAAGACTGATGACATTGTGCATTCTCTTGTGTTTTCACTTACTTCCTCTTACATCTGCTCCCAACCAACCTCACTTGAACCTATGTAGTTAGCAGTAGATCGATGAAATGAAAAAAAAACATTCTTTAATCTCATTGTTCAATTTTCTCTTTTAGATTGAAAAATCTTCCAAGTTTGGTCGTATCAAAACCTGTGTTTAAAAATGAAGCACAGCAAACAATCTTACAGTAATTATCGTATATGAGATAGCAATTAACCAGTCTGTAAAGCCTGCATATATTGGGCATGCTGGATTGCTTTGATTCTAGTTAATATTCTGCAGTCACAAGAATTTTAGCCCTCCTACACAACAAGCCTTCTTTGCTGCAGCAATTCTGCATCCAGGTTCTACTTTAGAAAGACTAAATTCCCCTTCCAAGTAGGTCAGACAATGGAGCAAACCCCTCCTGGCTTTTCATTGTCTACCAAATGGTGTGCTCTTTTAAATGAAGTAAACTCATGTAAATACCTACAGGTCCAGAAATATTGAATTGAGCCTCTTCTTAATTAAAGTCCATAATACAATGTAGTTTTTCATAAATCAAAATCTGAATAATGTGTACAGCTGTAATATGAAGTTATACAAAACCCAAGTAAAAGCAAAAAACCCGTGCTTTGAGTCTTTCAAATACAGAAAACTGTTCCAAGAAGGTGTCCTGTTATTTGTTAAGCATATTTTGTGGTACCATTACTATTCTTGCTAACAAAAATGTATGCTATTTGAAAGAAATTCTACAAGATACTGTAGATCTTCAGTTTTGCCTGTATTTCAAATAAATAGTTTCACTAAAAACGTTTCAGGCTTATCTAAACTGTCAGTGGTACTGTGCAGAACAGTTAGTGTTCAAGGAGTTCTCTTTTATGGAAGCTGACACAGTTAATTATCTGTTTAGCTCATCTGTCCAGAAGTACACTGCTTGCCTGAGCATCTGAAAGACAGCAGCCTAGGCAGAATATTAATCTTGTCACTAAGTCAAATAAAGTCTGGGGCAATGATCTCAAGACCCATGTTCTAATTTCTGGTCCACATTCAGAACTGCTGTAATTAGATTTAATTCCTTTCCGATCTGTATCTGCCTGTACAATCTGTTTTTCAGAGCTAACTCAGGAGAATGTTGCCAGATTTCAGGATAATAAAAAAGCTCTTACATAGTCAGCAGAGAAATTTGTAGCTATGAGAGCATCCTTGCAAACGTTAATAAACAGAGAAGAAAACTCAGATCTGAATACAGTGTTGGAAGAAAGAGAGTATTTTCCCTGCTTTCTGACCGTAGATAGTTGCTTTTTCCTTGGGACACATTCTAAAGAATAAATAAAGCTTGCCTAGCATATTTTATGGACATCACAAATACAGACGGTATAGCTGAAAGTTAATGTTTCAGATCCTTGACTGCCTCTCACTTAACACACCACAGAAAAGTTCTTGCTGAAAACCAAAACCAAAATATTTTACTTATATTAGAGTAAAAACAATAGAAATTTGGTTACTTCTTCAATAATCAAGCTCTTACTTGGAAAATTTCAGGAGGTATAAGTCTTATTGCTATTGGCTGGAAATATGGCATCAGGTTTTTATCAAAAGCTTTTAATTCATCCTCATTCAAACCACCTAAAAAAAAAAAAGGAACGAAACTCAGTCAACATTCTTTTTATTAGATTTATTTTTAGGCTAATGCAAATTTTAAGCATTTATACAAAATATCTAATAAATGGTTTACTCCAGTGCATTATGGAAAGAGATACTGGTTCTTTTTGTGGTTTGTTTCTTTCACTGTATTCCAACATTACAAATCATCTGACCTTAACCATTGGTATGGAATGTAGTCTACCTGAGTTAGTAAGAGTCAACAATAAAAATCAATAAAAACATAAGCAGTGTTATTAGGGAATGCTTGTTCACAGCCTCTTCTGATGCAAGATTAGGGAGCATAAGCATGTAATGGGAGTTACTTCTTCACCCATTAGCTACTTACAGCGAGGAATCATTACCACAGGCATTGGGGATGCTAAAATTTATGAGAGTTCAATGTGCAGTTAACTGATCCCAGGGAAAAAAAATCCAGGAACAAAATTGCATGTGACCTCTGGCTCAGGAAGACTCCGAGGCTGTGAGAGCACTCTGGAGAAGTATCACTCCAGGCTAAATCTGCTCTTTTGCACCTCCCTGGGCAGCCCATTCTTTCCACTGTTGGAGGCAGGATGCTCGGTCAGCTAGAGCACTGCTCCGACCCAATACAGCCACTCTTGTAGCAGCCCGTTCACAAATAGTGAGCAGGTCTGCAATCCTGGTTGGTTTTGCCCTCCTTGATTTACTCTTTCCAACTTACAGGACCCACATGACTTCAGGCTGTGCTCTCCAAGTTTGGTTTGAGCAGATTCAGAGAACCTTATGGAGAATACCACGACTTTTCCTTAGTGCCAATGAAATTGCTGGATGTCCATCCCTGCAGGTGACTTGCTGGAAGAAATGTCTTTTGACATGAACCTGTCTCTTAATGCTTAATAACAATGCTTCAGTATCATCACCATCTGAGTCTAAATTTTGTTACCTGCTACAGTACCAATCTCCTGTAAAACAGAGCCGTTCCAGCTGGTAGCAGTACCAAACACGGCTTCCGTCATCTTCTTAAACTGCCTCAGAACAGGGGTGCTACAGAACAACAGGCCGATTCTTGCAATAGCAGCATTGCAAAAAGCAACAAGGTTAATGTTACATACTGCAATTACAGGCAATGCTAAATATGCCCAGAATATACTTAGTCTGCTGTAAGAAGACTGTAAACCCATTTTCAATTTAAAATATATGTACACAAATTGCATGTAAACGTTTAATGCTTTGAGCAAAAACCTGAGTTTCTCAATACTTAAATGATGGGACATAAATGGCAGACATATGCATAGAATGTATTTTAAACGACTAGTCTACACCTTCCATAACAGTTGTTGCCTTTCTAAAAGCATTTAAAATGTAAAAAAATTGTCGTTTAGGCTCTGGAAATCTTGAGGGGAAAGAAATTGCACAATAAATTTTATGAATAGAGATACTAATAAATATTTCATTAAATATTAAAGGCAGTACCTGAATTCAGCAGTCCTTATGAACATGATTTCTGTAGAGTTCAAAGCACAGAGAATAGCTCCTAATCCAACTAAATCAAAGCTTTTTAGTGTACTGATTGTCTGGCCAGAATCTTCTAGAAAACCTTGCAAAATAGATCTTGCCTACAAAAGCAGTAAGATATTATGCATGAACAGAGTAAATATAATTAAAGGTTTTGCTACTAGAAGCTCAAAAGCTTACCAGAAGCTATGGACCATATAAATCCTGAGTTGCCCCAACATAATTAATTGGAGTTTTGCCATGGCCTTCAGGAGGAGCACTGTCACCACCTATACGTGACACTTAAACAGGGCACTGTTACACAACCACTCCCCAAGTGCAAGTGATTTGAAAGCACTCTGTGCCTCTTCTGCCAGGTCACAAGGAAATGCTTCACCAGAAGAAACAGGCATTGAATTGCCTAGCAGAACTGCCCAATTCAATTAATTTTCTAGAAGAAAACATAAATTACTCAAGGGGATCCATATGAAATTTTCAGTTTTTCTAATACGCAGGTTGTCTTGTCTTATTTAAGTATCATTTATAGGTGGTGACCTGTGCTTTGGATTAATTCTCAGATATGAATGGGATATTGGTACTAAAATGCCTTTGCAAGCCTAGGTCATTTAGGATAGTGCCTATCCTAAACTAACCATTTAAAAACTGTGTGTCTAGCTTAAGCCTGCCACCAAGACATCCTCCAAAGTCAGTGAAAGAAACAGGCACCTTCCAAGATTTCCTAATCTATCCACAAAACTAAGCCTCAAATGACTAGCTTAAACTAGCTGCCTAACTTTTAGACAAGTGAAGTTGGGCAGGATTAATCTCTCTTAACTAGCTGTTTTTATTGACAGCAGGAAACCTCAAAAGCCAACTAGTATTGTATAAAATCCTCCCAAGTGCTTCCTTCTGACGGTGCTCTTCAGAACAAGAATCTATTAAACAGACTTGTGATATTCTGCCAAAGCTGGCTGCCACCATGCCAGCATCTGTGCAACTGAGGAGCCCTGATGGTACGGGTCACAGAGTCAGAAATATGCTGCCAATTGCATACGCAAATAAAAGCTTTTAACTCTTATTATGAAGGTCCCATTGACCTAACTAGAAGTTATTCATGGAAAGGAAGATGAGAGGAGCCTATTTGCTAATAAGCTTCTAGAGCAATAGATGCTGGGGTTGGGAGGCACACTACCTCCTCAGTGATTACTCTTAGTTAGGAAGGGCTAACTTCTCCTAGCAGTAGTGTCTATTCTGGGGCCAGTGTGAGAGGAGCTGCTGATCTCTTTCTACTACTTAGTGGGCAAGCACTAAAGAATACACTCATCACCACCACAATTAACATTGATTGATGTCCTCTTGGCCATCTCACCAGGGAAGCCACCAGCCAGGCAGACATCAGCACTGACCCACCTGCCCACTTTCACTGGGGTCACAGCCACAGAAAAGCAGCAGGCAGTAGTGTGGATTGCTCTGTGTGCTTTCTGGGCGATTCCAGGACTTCAGCCCCAAAGGGCGTGAATCCAGAGCCTTTCACCAGGAGCACATTCAATAACATGCTTACCTGGGTAAGAGTCCATTCTGTTTGCTGACTGAGTACAGAAATGGTGTCAATAGAATGCAAATCCAGCTCTTTGATTTCAGGTTCGGTGAGTGCCAGAGCAATGCGTCCCAGGGAAACAATATGATAGCTCTTCCAGTCTGGCAGTGATCCCCAGACCTTTAGAAGAGATTCATTAATGACTGTTAGATCATTATGAACCTTCCTCTACATACACCACTCAAACCCCTTGGTTTTAAAAGTCCCAATACCCAAAGTATGCCTCTCTGCACGCAAAAAGCAGAGTATTGTGAAGGTTTTTGAGGTTCTGCTCTAATAATGGTTAGTTTATCTAAAAATACTGCAATTTGTACAGCTTGAGCTTGTTGTAAGTCAGCACAGGGACTGCTGGAAGTGTCGCTATAGGAGCAAGTGTCAACAAACCCAATAAAAATGTGAGTCTGTGCCTAGATCCACACTGTTACACCACTACAGCAAAAGCAGCACCTGGACTACCCACGCTTCTACACCAGCTGCATTGCTGTGGTGCAGTGACTTTAAATTGCTTTTGTGACCAGTCATTCTGGCTCAGCCATTGACGTGGAAAGCAGAAATCAAAGTAGAGAATCGGGTAATACAGACAAATAGCCAGTTCCTAAAGTTCTGGTTTCTAGTTTGTGTGCACACAATATTAAAAAAAAAAAAACCCAAACATTTAAATGTGTTTGTACAGATGCAGTTGAATCTGTAAAGCTCTGTAAAAACAAAGAAATAAGCTGGGGCTCTTCTAAACCTGTACCAATGTATTTAAACTGGCAAGTTTCACTGCTTTTAACTTTATCTGTGATATAGTTACAGTGATACAAAAGCTGTCACATATCAGCCCTAAGAAAATATTCATTTCAGGAAAAGGTCTGCCTGAATAAGGAATAATGAAAGTCCATCAAGAGCTGAATTTGCAGAGGCTAGAACTGTCAATTACATTTAGCTGGAAATGATGGAAGACAGTAATCAGCGGTCAGTATCTCTCAGGATGTGGCCAATTGCCTTCACAGAAAAAAGACACTGGGTTTTGGCTGGAGCAAGTGACTTGAACAAGACAGGCATACATTAAAAAAAGAAAAAAAAAAGCTCCTTTTAAAGGTCTCATGTACTTCAACTTTGCTTTATGCCAGTCAATACATGATAGTTTTCTAGTACATGATTGTGCTGCTAACTCCACATAGAAAAATAAAACCAAAAGCCCGGTCCTGGGCTAAGTTGATTGTTCATTCTGTCTGATTCATAGAAATATTTATTCCATTTTCAGGATAGCTATAATTTAACTTTTGTTCACAAAATCAGAAAGGTCAAAGCTAGTAAGGACTTGCTGAAGGAATATCTCTGCAGTTGCCTACCAAATAGTGTTTGCACCTTCAGATACATATGAAGCTGTACAATCTGCATAAAATAAAGGAAAAGGGCCACATCTGGAATAAGATACTCCTCACAGAGTTGCAGACTATCTGCTGTTCATACCAACATGCACATCCAACACAGAGCAGCCTCAGGACAGCCAAAGTGCTCTTCTCAACTCTGACCCTCAGGTTAAGGATTTGTTTAAAGAGATGCTTTGCTGGACCTATACCTCCTGACTGAGTTTCCACTGGATCTTTTATGTTGGTTTTACGATGTCATAAAGAAACAGCAAAAGGGTCTAAGCCTAGGAAATGTCAATCTTTTCCAAAGAAAATAGATAGTAAAAAGCATTAGCTCAATTTTAGAGCTCTTAATTCTCTAGTTTAAGAGATATGTGAAATACATGCAGTTAAAAATGTTGTGTGTCTATTTCCTGATCTAGGTCATAAACTACAGAATTTGAAGTACTTCATAAATAGTGTTATCTGACAGTGCTGGATGAAATCTCTGACATAACGATATAAATAACAACACACGAAACTGAAACACTCCTTTGTCCTCATTCACCTACAGACTGCAGATCCATACATCTGTTACTATCACAGAGCTTGGAGACCTTCCACTTACAAGTGAGCTAAGCTTCTTACTTTCGTTAAGACACAATCTGATAACTAGGCTTTTTGAATTAGTTTGGGACCACGAGTGGTACGCAGTTTCTTTTAGGGGAAATCAATCAAATTAGGAGAAATTAAATCTGGCTTAATCAAACCTTTAATCAAAGATGCCCTTTAGTTAATAACATAACAGCATCTTATGCACATAATTTCAAAGAGCTTTGCCTGTACTGTCTGATTTCTCATGCTTCATGTTCACTGTAACACCATGTTGCATTTTGCAAATTAATATATAGAAAGTCTGTCTTTGTCTAGCAGCAATCTGTCTTACAAACAGTCACATAGACAGAATATACTTGCATACAATGCACCACAGATCTGTACATCTTTGAATTGAACATAGCTGGGATACGAGCGTATTAACCTTATTGGCAATTTCTCTACAACAAATATCACTCTGTAAGTATACCATTACATTGCACCACTGTAAAATATTTCAGTTCCCACTATCTCAGATGAGCACTGTTTTTATTTTCTTCTAGGATTATATTTTTTCCCCCTTTCCTACCCACACGTCTCCATGCTGACAGAGGGAAGCTGTCTTAGGAGGAATGCATTTGATGCAGTGGGCTGTTGTCCTACTGCAACAAGGCAGCAGAGACAGAATTGCAGAAAGTCACCATCTGCTTTCAGAAATCTGGTTAGTGCCACTTCTCTTTGAGCACCTGCAGTTCAGGAGTTTTAAAAACTGAACTTCACTGCTGAAAACTGCAATGTTGGCCTTATCTACCCAAAAGTCATGATCAGGTCCACTACTTTGTCTGCAGCTGCTGGTTTAAGGAGATGCTGCCCAGGCACACCTTGTCCCTTGCTCCTGCTTTCCTACAGAGGTCACAGCCCTCGGATCTCCGAGCATCTGCACTCGTACTACTTGCAGCCAACTGCACTTGCAGATGCTTCCTAACCTCATTCTGTCAGAATGACACGATGGAGCCTAAAAAGGACTTTTAAAACATTGGATCATTTTGACAGAACAGGATGACAGAGTAGCTAGCCACGCAGAGATGGAAGCAGAGAACAGATAACCTCCAGCAGATGCTGGTGACAGGAAGCTGAAGATAGGCTGGGAGTAGTAACCTCTTCACCTCTGGGTTTTCTGCAACCAAAATAACTTGTCTTACTGCATCCTAAGGTTTTTCCTTGCTGAAGCAAAAGTATATTTGGGACACTACATGTTCCCTGGCAGTGCAGGCAACCACAAAACAGCAAGAGGAGGTGACCCCAGGGAGGAGTGCAACACCAACAAGAAGGATGAAGCAAGGTCTGACTTCTCTCCCAGCCCACAGCTGGCCAAGGCAGAGCTGCTCGGAGCCCGGACACCTTGCCGATGCTCTGCCCCAGACACAGCGTGCTGAACTGCACCCAGCACAGCACTCTGCCCTGAGTACTCAGGCACAGATCCTGTGCTGCAGTGCCAGACGGGGAGAAGTTTTAGTCCTGGCGTCCCACACTGCTGCTGCAGCATGGGCCCTACATATGGGCTGAGCCCAGGGCAGAGACTTCTCTGAGGAGCTCAAAAAGGAGCTGCAGTGCTGCACTCTGAAAGAGGTGCCAGTGGTGCTCAGGAGTGGTGGTAAAAGCTGAGACTACAGCCCTGTTCCTCTCCATGAATCTACAGCCTGGCAAAGGTAGAGGTTGTCTTTCTGCTGTACTTCCGTGACTTGCACTCACCAGTACTATCCCAGGAAAGGATGCATATGGGTTTTTTTCCTCCCTGAAATTACCCACTGATGGGATTGTCCCTGCCTGTGACAGGAAGGTGGGAGAACAAGCTTTATTCAGCTAATAACAGACTCTTTCAGTCACTCTGGTTTTACACCACTGTAAACTATATTTAACATTGATTTAGACAGTTTAACACTCTGAGCTTAATTCTCGGCAGGCTAATCAAAAGCCTATAGTATTGCTTGCTGATTTTTCAATTAGGAATAAAAAGCAAGAAGCAAGCAACTGAAAAGCAATTCAAAAGTAAAAGCACTTCTGTTTTTCAGCTGCCAATATCTCAGAACTACTTGCCTGTTGACGCTAAAGCAAGGGCAATAGTCTTCTGTCCCCATCTCACATAATTTTTCCAATAAATAATATTTTTGCAGGAGTAGTGACATTGCCATAGCACAGCCATTTTAGAACTGCATAGTTCAATAACAGCAAATCAAATTATGGACTTAATTTTCCTTCACAGACAGGATAGTTACCTGCTTGGCTTTCTCCTTCAAGGTAATAAGCTGGGAGGTGTTAAAACCTGAGACAGTCCCAAGAAGCTCCACATTTTTGTCAAAAGTCCCTGTGTCCATACATTTCAGTTCCTGAACTGACCAAAAGACATTTGCTTCTGCTAATTTAATGATTTCATCTGAAGAAGGACCTCTGGTTCCCAGGCAATCTGGAAAAAAGAGTCAAACAGCAAGAGTTTTCTTCGAGGAGACCGAAAAAAAGAAATCAAAGTAATACAGATATTTGAGAGGGTGATAGACTATGAATTATCTACATCTGATGTGATATTGATAAATTCATTATCTTGCAATGAAATAATGTCTTCAAATATTTACATTGTTAACATCCTGGATATAAAACTAGAATTTGCCTCACTTGCAAGCAATGATAATGTCCTCCAAAGGCAGTGCATGCTGGAAAAGAAAATAGGAACAGACATGTACTTCAGAACAGTTACAATATAGGATGCCACAAAAAACCTAAAATCTGGACATGTACAATAACAGTAACCAGTATCTTGCATGTTTCTTTGAAGTTTAATGCCCTAAAAAGATCGAAACCCAGGCATGGGCTTATTCTGAAGTAAAACCACCACTCGCTGGAAGCCTTGCTTGAGTAAGAATGAAATGCAAATCTTTGGGATGACCCCACTGGAAGTCTCCGTAGAGCTATGTCATTGTTCACAAAAAGCGTTGCAGCTGAATAAACTTCTCCGTTTTCAAACAGCACATACGTGAATCCAGCTCAACAGGAAACTAACAGACATGAGAGGTCCTTTTACTCTGAAATACCCTGACAAAGATGTATGTCTTGTAAGACTTGCCTGACATTTAAACAAGGTGAAGACAGAAGCTGGAATGTGTCAAAGAAGCACCGTGCTTGTTCTTTATGTCAAGCATATTGTTAAAATGTCAGGATCTAAAGAGGGCTGTTCACTTACAATGGAACTGTTTGGACAAACTCCACTTAAAAATCTTATTTATGGTCAGGTTCTAGACCGACCTATGCATGATCAAATGAGACAGTTTCCATTGTGTGTTTTAACAAATCCTGGTCTTTGTTGGCATAATCTACCTCTAATATTGATGGAAAGCAGAGATTAGAATCCTAATGTGGTTGCTTACTGCTTTCTCTCCTGTCACTAATTTAGGAAAACCTTATTAAATAATTATCTAAACCAAATAATCCCTACATATCTTCAGATACGTTAATTACCAGTAAAAAGCTAGAATTTCACAGATGCTGTGCCTGAGCTAAGCTCTACCAGATAAATAAATAAAAGTGAGGATGTACAAAGTAGATTTGTACTTTGAAAGGAGGCAGAGGAGGGATTTATTTGCATCAAAGGAAGCTGCAGTAGTGGGTAGAACACTGAAAAGATTGAATCTGTTGAGCAAACGAAAATGTTGTTCAGCTTCCACTGCACCAGCTGATGTTCTGCTCTCCCTTTTCACCGCCCTCTTGTGAAGCTGCATTGTTTCACTTTCCCCTACCGCAAAAGGTCAGCTTTTATCATGTAAATACTAGCCATTCAGACACAATGCAGTTCCCTTCCCCAAGTCATGAAAACCTAATATTTTGTGTTCTTGGAAAAAAAACATTGATTTTATTATTTGTAACACACCAGATACATTGGTGCAATTACAGAGGGAAATACTAATCAGACTCCTGGCTTTGCTTCCTGTACCTGATGCTACTTCACTCTTCCTTGTGCTATATAATCACATCTAGTTTGATGAAGAACATATTATATATATAATACATTATAACATCTCAGTGCTTGAGGTAAGCAACTTGAATTCCTTTTGCAGGATTGCCACTGCTTTCGGGTAGCATCTCGGACACACGATTCCCGAGTTTTGCCTCACATGTTCCATCTTGCCTTAGGCAACACCTTTGTTTTTATCTTGAAGTAGACATAGATGTAAGAACTCTGTCACTCTGTAATTGTTATTGTTATTAATATTAGCTCACAACTGGACTGTGGAAAATGTAAAATGTAAATGATGTAAAATAGCAGGTTGGTAGCATGAAGAGCATCAGTATTATTCTAGAGCCATTTTTATAATACTCAATTTTCTAATGATTTACAAATCAGCCATAAAACTTCATTCCCTATTGAAACCACTGTCTGAGTTGTGTGGACCTGATAAGATTATGTTTGGTAACAGAACTTCAATACCATAACTGGACTACAGAAGTATTTCTTAGACCAGCACAAAAAATTCTTCAGTTTTTCATCTTTCAGACTCCCTCCGCAGCTGAGCTCATGTACCCCAAGTGAAGAATGAAGAGCCTCCATAGCCTTGGAGCCAAGGTAACCTTTGACAAAGATCATCAGCTTCACTGGCAGGTTTATACTGGTCTTACAATGCAGATCAGATAGCTCTGCAACTGCACTAAACGTGAGTTAGTCTGATTAGAGAAGTCTTTGGGATTCACGTTGTTGTGACTCAGAGGCCTAAAAAAGCAGACATAAGGACACACTGAAATGCCTGATGCTGAACTTTTAGTCCTGTGGCCCATATCTAAAGAAATGTGATTTATGATCTGATGATTTACTTGTTCAAGGAAGAGTGAATTTCATGCATACAGATAGACTATAGCTATTCCACCAGCTTTTTTAGAGCGTGATAATTGTGTAATGCCTCCTCTGATCAACAGAGGTCATGGTTTTTTCCAGGCTATGCAAAAATACAACTCTGTAGAACATCCTCTGTCTCTCTCTGTATATGAATACAGCATTATCAGGAGCAAATTCATTCCCAGAGGCACACAGTCATCACTCAGGGTTGCTGTTATACAAGCAGATGGACTTCCATGGTGGCTCAGAGCTTGCTGAGAGCTTGGACCTGTATTCTGTTAGGCAGAGAGCCAATGGGGAGATTTTCAAAGACATAAAGGCAGACAGTACCAAACTCCTTGAAATTTTGGGGGTCTAAACTCCTACTAGTGCTTTTCAAAAGCCTCTGCCACAGCAGGGCTGTTTTTCATGGCACAGCTTAAAAATTCTGCCCGGGTGAATTTCAAGTAAGGAAAAAATGCAGTTATTGTAATAATAGAATATAGTTAAAGTATGTACCGTATACAAAGGAAATGATCAATTTGTCACCAGAGGTTCTGATAGATTTGGTTTGGTTGTTAATTAAAACACCTTTTAGATTATAACAAGCTTTGTCCATTTGGACAGATAAAACACAGTGCCACCAATGTCAGACGGAAGAACATCTGAGTCAACATATGCTCATGTCTGGCAAAGGATTAACTATGTGCAATCCTTTGGCACAACAGTAACTAACTTGTCACCTTCACAGGTTTTTAATGAAAAGATTTTCACTTAGATTACAAAGGAAAGTAAAAATAACTTTAAAAGTAAAAATAAGCAAAACCCTCTAATTCAAATCATTCATCTTTTTCCTTTGTGCTCTGAGGAACAGTCCAGGAGATGCTTAACCATGCAATCCTGTAATGAAATTGTTTCAGCAATTGGTCAATGCATGAGACAACTATGGGTAACAGAATGAAGACTCTCACTGTTTTTGCTAAAAGTCTGAATCTCTTGAAGTTACTTGATGCTTCACTTTTTATTGTCTGGCTTCTCAGAATGCATTTCATAACAAGGTGAAACAAAAAGTCTGTTTGAACTGCACCATCACAGCCCAAAACGGCACCATTGTAAATCTGGCACTTTGCACAGATACCAGGTGATATACTGACCAGGTCTCGTGAGAGATGATTCGGTGTTGGCAGTGGCATGGGAGACAGACTCAAATACAGTTGATAGAAGCTCTTCGGCTGAAGAAATTGGTCCAATTGGTTTATGTCTGGACATCCAGCTGCTTTATGTCTCGACATCTGTTGGGATCTACGTCAGGACGTGTGTTGTGCTCTACGTCAGTAGTTATCTCACTTTCAACTTTCAGCTCACTTTCGGCTCGACGTCGGGACGTCTTTTGGGCTCTAAGTCTGTTGTTAGCTCACTTTCAGCACTACGTGGGAACATCTGTTGGAATCTACGTCAGGACGTGTGTTGTGCTCTACGTCAGGCCGTCTGGCTTGAGCTCGCTTTAGGCTGTACTTCGGGACGTCTGTTAGGCTTTAGGTCTGGACATCTTTTGGGCTCTACGTCGGGAGGTGTGTTGGGCTCTACGTCTGTAGTTAGCTCACTTTCAGCTCTACATCGGAACATCTGTTGGGCTTTACCTCGGGTTTTGTGTTGGGCTCTACGTCGGGACATCTGTTGTGCTCTAAATGTGTTGTTAGCTCACTTTCAGCTCTACGTCGGAACATCTGTTGGGCTCTACGTCGGGATGACTGTTGGGCTCTACGTCGGGACGTCTGGCTTGAGCTCACTTTTGGCTCTACGTTGGTACATCTGTTGGGATCTACGTCGGGACGTCTGTTGGGCATTACTTCAGGACATATGTTAGGCTCTACGTCGGGACGTCTGTTGGGCTCGACGCTGGCTTTATCTCACTTTCGACTCTACGTCGGAACGTCTGTTCGGTCTACGTCGGGACGTCTGTTGGGCTCTACGTCGGGACCTCTGGCTTGAGCTGGCTTTTGGCTCTACGTCGGGACATCTATGAGGTCTACTTTGGGAAGTCTGGCTTGATCTCGCTTTCGGCTCTACGTCGGGA